ATTCTAATACATTATTCAATATGAGGCTTGAGGTGAGAATTGAGAGGCTCTCCAGATATTGCGGGATTAGAACCCCCTAACTGCCCTAGCCAGCCACATCAATGATGGGGGACAGTTCAACAACATAAGGGGGGCTTCATAATTCCCCCGCTCCTTTGATGAAGACTCATGGAAGCTATCATCTGGCCTAGAAACTCAGTGACAAATTGTGGAGCCAGATTAAGTGGCCATCCACCTGTTGGCATGATCGGGGTGTACTAGTATGATGACAGCAAAATGAAGCATACCCCCTTGAAATTTTCCTTCAGTTCCCAAATTTCTAGCACTGAAGAGAGTGAAGCACTGGAAATTGTTCACACCTAGACTCATATTTACTGTGTTCACATTTCTTTTGTCACTTTGCTTGTCCTTTTTCTTTAGATGCCTATACTGTTTTTCTAAATATTCATCTAAAGTCAACTCAGTTACTGCAATACTAAACATTTAGGAACTGAAAATTTCAGAGATTCTTATTTGGAGTGGGAAATGCCCACATCAGGTCCTCTTCTTCAGCCAAGGAGGTAAAACCAAATTATGTGTTGGTCAAAAGAGGTGTCTTATCTAAGTACAGCTTGTACAGAGAAGATTCCACTACAGAACATTTCTTATGTGTTCCTTCCTGGAATGAAAACTATTTCTGTGTCTGAGCTCTGAGACAGAGGTTCTTTGTCATAATTCAAAGACATACTTGTTTAAGTTTAGATCCATATGCAAAGGGATCCTGTAGCACCTTTAAGACTCTACACATAAATGTATTATTTGAATTGCTGTGGATTTTCACCCATTCACATTCAATCACAGTCTATCCAATTGGAATAAGATGTATTTTATCTTGTAGATAAGCCCTAACTCTACTTCAGCAGATGCATCAATGGAAGTGTCTAGGAACAGTGCTTTATAGCTATGAATGAACAGGTTGTATGTTTGAATAACAACAGGCATGCAAAGCTTATGGATATGGTGATGAGGTGACAAGTTCAGTTTCAATGATGGTCATAGGTGGACAAGCATAATTCATTAGAAAAGACAATAATGCTAGGAAAAATAGAAGGCAGTAGAAAGAGAGGAAGACCTCATGTAGATGGCTGGGCTCAATTAGAGAGGTCATAGACCTGAATTTACAGAACCTGAGCAGAGCAGTGGAGGATAGGGAGGGTAAGAAATGTTTCATCCACAAGGTTGGCCTGAGCCAAGGTCAACTCAAGGGCAGCTAACAACAACATGTGGGATAAAAACAGGAAGAAAAGTATAACCATATGAATAGCAGAGTTAGTTATTGGAATGTAATGTGGTGCTGGCTGGGAACCAAAGAGGAGAGTGACCTTTGTTCGCAGGAATGAGTGGAGGGGTCCAGTTAATGAGATGTGAGAATTGGTTGAAATCTTCTTGGCAAAAGTTTTGAGAGGGGGATGAGAGAGTCCAGATAGACTGGGTTGAATGTCAAAGCCAGCCCTAAATAGCCCAGAGCAAAGGGAATATTTGTCTGTTGGTTGGTTGGTTGGTTGGTTGGTTGGTTGGTTGGTTGGTTGGCTGGTTGGTGTGTGTGTGTGAAGAAGAAGACTCATCATTGGAGAGTCCCTCATTTTTGTTTCCAGAGTTTTAGCAAGTAGCCTCAATACAGCTGCTAGTTGATGGGGTTAAATGAGCAAGAGCCTGGGGTGAGGCCTGAATCAATTGTGCTTGAATTTCTTCCAACTATGCTGGTAGTTCTCTTGGTTGTACTCACAACAAACCTCATGGGGAGCATCACTTTTGCTACACCATTACACAGTTACTTCCCTATAGCCCTGCTGCCTTGGGCCTCAAAGAGTGAGCAGCAATCAATGGGAAGTTTGTTCAGAGTCCAAGCTGTACTCAAACACCCTGTATCTGTAGATCCTTGTCTGCATGTCTGTAGATCCTTGTCACAAATGAATGTTCTATTGTCCATGCTTTAATGTATGTGCTCAGCTTAGCACACCTCAAAATGACTCTTTAAATTGAGACTCATGATAGAGCAAGAGGGAGTGATTTTCCCCCTCCAAGTAGCTCATAAAATACTTTAAGTTCAGCTTGGGAACTTTCAATAGGACTTTTTGTTGTGTGATTTAGGACAACACTCTGCTAGGCAACCCACTGCTGCCACAGGAAAGCCTCATGGGAAAGCCTACCTTTTCATTCCTTGTTGGGAATCTTGTCCTATTTTCCAAAGGTCTTTCAGCTGCTTCTGCTGTTTCCTCAACACTTGCTCCCTCTGCTCTGCCCTTCTCCATTCCTCACTGCCCCCCTCCTTTCTTTATCAATCCTGTGTTCCAGAAGATCAAAGTCCTAAAAGGAATAACAGGTGGAAATGATTTTAAGCTGCCCAGGCTGACCAGATGTGGCATTTCCATGATTGCATTTGCCTGGGTGAGCCTAGGGGCTAGATGGCCCCAAAGGAGCAGCTTGCCACCACACCTTTCAGCACTGGATTGGGGCTGCAGCAACTGCATGCTGTGGCCCTGATCTGGCAATTTGCCAGCCCAAAAAGGAATGGCAAAAAGCTGCCTTTGCCATGCCCCCACTCCACCCTGATGCCAGCCCTTTGTGCCAGTCTGTACAGCTGCTAGGACACCCTGTTTGGTTGGACCCAGCCAACCAGACAGACCCCTGATTGCCAGTATCCAGTTTTGCCCTTAGGAGGCTATCCAAACTCCCAGTATGAAGGCTCAGAGTCATAAACAGGGCAAGAGAGGGAGAGAGAGAGAGAGTTCAACCTTGTTAAGGTGTCTGTAGAAAAGCAGTGGTTGTCTAATCTAGTTCAAGTCCTTCACGAGACAGTAGTCAGTCCAGGAAAGCAGTCCAAAGGGTAATCCAAAACAATAGTCAGAGTCCTAGGCAACAGGAAATCAATCAAGAAATGAGGCACTAGCTTGGTTTTCTCCCAAAGAAAATTATTATTATTATTAGCTTTATTTATTAAGCGCCGTAGATGTACACGGCGCTGTACAAAACCAAATAAAATCCAGAATATATAAAAAGCCTGCCTGTGGCGTACAATCTTAAAGTAAAACAACAAATTAAAACATCAAGAGAAACAAGTTAACACATCACATATCCAATATTAGATCACGCATCAGGAACAACCAGGTCAGGATCACAGACTCCCTGGGAACGCTTCCCTAAACAGTGTGGTCTTTAACTCAGCTTTGAAGCTGGTTAGGGATGTGTTGAGTCGTACTTGTGAGGGAAGGAGGTTCCAGGAGTGAGGGGCAGCGAGTGAGAAGGGACGGA